GCTACTCTAATAGTAAATTTATATTAATACAAATAAAATAAATAGTGCATAATGATAAATAAATATTTATGATCTTGTATAAATATATTTGAACTCAAACCAGTCTGCAGACTTTGAACTAGACCCAAACTAGACTTAAACTTTAGTAAAACAAGATATCAGTAAATTAATTATTAGTAAAGCAAAATTCTAGTGAATTAATTGTTAGTAAAGCAAGATATCAGTAAATTAATTATTGGTAAAACAAAATGCTAGTGAATTAATTGTTGATAAAACAAGATATTGATAAATTAATTGTTAGTAAAACAAGATGCTAGTAAATTAATTGTTAGTAAAGCAAGATTTTAGTGAATTAATTGTTGGTAAAGCAAGATATCAGTGAATTAATTATTAGTAAACAAGATGCTAGTGAATTAATTATTAATAAAACAAGATACTGATGAATTAATTGTTGGTAAAACAAGATGCTAGTAAATTAATTATTGTCGCAGCTGATGCTGAAAACGGCTAATACTGAAATTCGGATCTATTTTGATATGAATTTTTAAAAATTTTTTAGGGTGTTTTTTCCCCGCTTTTTTTTTATAGTTGAGTTAGTGTTTAGGGTTAGAATTGATAATTAACAAGTATATGTGGATTTTAGTAGGGCTTATATTTTTAAATTGAGACCCCAAATTTCAGCATCAGCCGTTTTCAGCATCAGCTGCGACAATTATTGTTATGGATAATCATAAAATCGGATGATAGTAAAATTTGGATCTATTTTATATACGGTTTTTAAAAATTTTTAGAGCCTTTTTGTTGGCTTTTTTTTATAGTTAAGTTAGGATTTAGGGTTAGAGTTATTAGTAAAAGAGTATAGGTGGATTTTAATAGAGCTTATATTTTCAAATCGAGACCCTAAATTTTACCATCATCCGATTTCATGATCATCTGCGACAATTATTAATAAAACAAGATGCTAGTAAATTAATTGTTGGTAAAACAAGATGCTGGTAAATCAATTATTGATAAAACAAAATGCTAGTAAATTAATTGTTGGTAAAACAAGATGCTGGTGAATTAATTGTTAGTAAAATAACATAGAACTAACAAAAAAAGGAGAGATTTATAAAATAAACAATACAACTATATAATAGCTAAAATAAAATCTTTTTATTATATTGTTTTATTGTAAATTATTGTTTAAAAATTGTTTTATATACAATTTTTAATAAGAAAAATTATTTTATTCTTTTTGTTCAATAAGCTTAATTAATTTATTAATTTTATCTAGCAGATCTTTTAATACTTCATTAATTTTATTTGTCAATATTTCATCTATTTGTTTTTTTAATTTCTCCTCAGAATCATCTGTTTTTGTAATTTCTAGTTTATTTATTTTATCTAATGAATCTTTTAGTAATTCATTTATTTTATTTGTCAATGTTTCATCTATTTGTTTTTTTAATTTCTCTCCAGAATCATCTGTTTTTGTAATATCCAGTTTATTAATTTTGTCTAATAGATCTTTTAGTAATTCATTTATTTTATTTGTTAATGTTTCATCTATTTGTTTTTTTAATTTTTCTTCAGAAGCCTCTGTCTCAGCAATTTTCAGAATTTTAGGATCCAAACTTTGTTTATCTTCAATACTTTCTATATATTTTTTAAGCTCTTTAACTGAAGCTTTATAATATCTAAAAATTTATAGTATAAATTAATATAAAATATAATTTCAAAATATAAATAAATAAAAATTAATTACAAAATTTCTGAAAACCAATTGGTTTTTCTTCTTTGGTGAAGTAATATCCAAAAAGATTCAATTTCAGATAATATCTAATAATAAAATATAATAAGCATTTTACATTATATTTAAATAATTATTAAATAAATTTTTTTACCTCTGCTCTTAGTTTTAAAAAAGATTCTTCATTATTTTTATCATCAATAGTATTTGCAAGTAATGAAATAAACAAATTCAATAAATAAATAGTTGTAAAAAATGAAAATATAACTAATAAAAATGCTAATGTCTAGTTATCTTTTAAGTCCTATGAAGAAACATAACTTGAATCGCCTAAAATAAAAATTTAATTAATATTTTTGTTAAATTTTGATTAATAAATTATTATTTAATTTAATACCTGTTAGCATAAAATATACAGCCAAAATTAAAGTACTAAACATTGTAAACAAATTTGTACTATCATCTGAAGTTTCGATAATTATTGATTTTTTAACAGTACCATTAGATAAAATAAATTGATATGTTGGAACTAGGTTTCAAAGGTTATTAGTGTCATCAGTAAAACTTGGCTGATCATAAGAATATTCACTATTAGGCCTTAATAAAAGATATAAAGAATAGGCAAAAGCTAAAACCATAATTCCTAAAACAACAAGAAAAGAAAAAATTTTTTGTGCTACTC